CTGATTAAGGATGGAAAGAGTTGAATTTATTATCAGAAGTCAAATCAAATATACAATAAAATGATCTTTATTGTTATAATTAAGCTTATTTCAAACTACTTGATTTTGTTAGAGATGAAGCATAATCAAATCAACATGGAAGGAGTGGCAATCATGTTTTATAATCAATCGAATAAAATCTTAAATATGCTCAAATTATAAATTGTTATAATTTTATCAAAACTCTACCTAAACTCACTTAATCATATGATTAAATGATGTCATCTCCTTAATTATGGGGTACTAAATTCCTTAATTTTGTATCTTAATTCTAACTCTACACTGAATTAGAAGAAAGTCTAAGATAATATGCACCTACTTAACCAACATATCCTGGATAAGCTTAAACTGCTTATGATTAATTATTAGATATAATATCTAATTCATATTAATCTAGTCTATTATGTAAAAAATACTTTTTTGAAAGACAACCAACAATTATTGATTAATAAGAATTCACTTTTGATTTGATTAGCTAAAGAATGGTATAATTATAAATGTGTTTACAAAGATTCAATGGATAATTAGGTCAATTTATGAATAATCAATAATTACAATCAAATACAAATTTAGATTAAAAGAGTTATTAATTAGCTGCTTTAGATTATAAGACTTTATTATATCCTATGAGATATTATTAATAGAATGGAATATTTGAATTATTTGATGAATAATCAATATTAAAAGAAGTACCTAAAGTATTATAAATATATGCAGAGAAAATTTATCAATTAGAGAAAATCAAATTCAAAACAGTAAAGTTTTAAGATGTTGATAATAATTAATAGAATTTAACAGAATTACTTAATTATTTTACTAATTTGTAATTAGGAACTTATAGTGCAGAAGAATTCAAAAATTATATGATAAGTAAAATAAGAAGATATAAAATGATCAATTAATTTTATAAATTATTAAGATTAGATTAATCAAATGAATCTAATGGTATGTAAATTGAAGAATAAAAATTAGAATTTATGGTCTGTTAGACAAATGAATTCTTTATTTAAAATTAAGTTAATTATTTGAAATTTTGGAAAGAAGCACATAAAGTATATTAACTTGCTCATAAAAAGTATAGTAATAATATTAAATTTGCTCATCATTATATTTAAATAACACCTCTTAGTATGTAATATAAACCATAAAAATTCCCTATTACAGGTATGTATATGTTTCATATTCTAAATATTACAAATCCAACTGATTCAATTGTCACAGATGCATTCTCTTAAATAATTGGTTTAATACCATTACATTTATTATAACGCTTTATTACTTAATTAGTATCAACTTATCTCTAAACTCCATGTGATTTAACCAAAAAAGATTGTTTAGATGCTATAAATAAATTATGTATCTTCAATCCTCTTAATAGTTTATAACTAATATAATATTTAAAGAGTCTAGGACAATGTACTGATGATAGATCAACTTAACTTATCAATTTTATTTAAAATCCTTCAAAACTAAACTAGAAAATAGCATCAATCTACTCATTACGATATCTTTACAATTCCATATTTGATCAACCAGTTTGGGATTATGTTGAAGAAATAATTTATTAATGTGGAAAAATTTTAGATTCTAAATATTTTGAAATTAATTCTAGTAATATTAATGATAGATGTCAATATATCTTAAATATTATATAAAAGAATCCATAAATTAAAGATATGATAAATTAATATTGGCAATTTAATGATTTGAATAAATAATTAAAAATTGATTAACTTAAAACAATATAATCAATTTATCTAGCAACATTGAAATGTGTATATATTAATCTTTTTGGAATTAAAATGAATTTGGAAGAAGATTTTCCATTATAATTAAGCAATTCTATGAATTAATTGTTGCCAAAATAAATCTAAATTGATTAATTATATTCAATAAATGATGAATTTTAAATGAATCAACTTCCTATGTTGGGATATGATGGTTAAATTAAAAGAACTTAAGCATTTGAGACCATCTATATAACAAATATGTTTCCAACTATACATATTATGTTTTTAAGAAGAAAAAGATTTATTAGATAATTAGCCTTATTAGGAAATGATGAGAAAAAATACTTTTTCTTATTAAAAACTAAAAAACTTGAAAATAAGAAGTTTATACAATCTATTCTTGATGAACATATATCTACTTAATTTGTCAAAATGACTAATATTTTAAATTAAAATTACAAAGAAACTAAAATTAGAAATGTGAAACATATGGTTACAGATAAATATCTATTAGAATATGAAAAATAAAATTATCAAATAGAACCATATTAAGAGGAAACTTATAATCTTAGTAATATTTTAGATACAATCCTTTAAATTCATTACCATACAAATTCTAATAATGATAAGTCAATCAAAATACCATACTATAAGTAATTATTATTTTAAATATAACCTAGTTCCTAATTAGAGAAGGATTTTTTGAAAAAGGATGATCTAACTAAATATATATTAAGATTTTCAAAAACAATTGAGACTTTTGTTCAAATAAGAAAAGTTTTAGTTGTCAATATAGGTGTTCAATTTGCATTATCATTCACTATGGCTAGTAGTTAATCTCCTAAATAATTGGAAAATCTATAAATAAATTTGAGCAATGGAAATTTCTACCAAAAGAAATATCTATTTAAAGTTAATAATCAAAGACTTAATTTATATGATCCATTTGCTATTAGATATTCAAGGAATATTGAACATTTAGTTGGTGAAATAAATTTAAATGCATATTTAATACCAACATTTACAGCAACCATTATTGGCATTTTAAATATTGAGTAAATATATCATCTTATTATTAATTTATAGTCTTCATGAGTATTTGAATGTTGTATTTTGGCAATTAGGATGTAAGGATTCTCTTGAACCATTTATAAAAAAGTTAAGAGATATAGTTTATGAAAATGGAGTTATTGATTCTAAATGTGATAGATTAATTGCCATATCTAAGAATTTATTTAGTGGTTAAGAGAAACTTAAATTATGGACCAAAAGATATTTCTGATATGTTTTTATGAATTATTATAATTTAATCATTTCTTTACAGTTCTAATATGTGATCATATAAATAAACTAAATATCTAATTAATACAAATTTGATTTAATAATTATGAGTTAAAATTTTACAAAGGAACAATAATTATTAATTGATGAAATCATTAACAAAGGATACAATCAAGAAGATTTTGAGTACTTCGTATTTTAGAAGGAACCAGAAAAAGGTACAATAATATTAAAAATTAGGTCATGATTTAAGTAAATGGACTTATGATGAATTATTTAACATCATTTAACAATATTAATTAGAAAGTATTCATTCACATATAGATTAAGAATAATAATAATTATAGATCTAAACTCCATTAAATGAACCTGAATCTCCAGAAATATTAAGCTCATTTTCATTTATTGATAAGGAAGTATCTGCATAAAATTAAAAATAAGAAGCTATCAAAATTGTAAATCAATTATTAATATAAAAATTAGAATGAAAAAATGCATATATTACCATACGAAAAAACAATAAAATGCAAATAATAGTATTTTTTTATTGATGAAAATGTTGAATTATAATTTGAAATCAGCGCGTAATTTTCTTTATATTATTATAGACCAATTGAAGAGAGAGGAGGAATTTTAGACTTTTTTTCAAAATCAATTGTATTTCCTATTTAAGTTAATCCAATGGAATGGAAGATTAAAAGAACTCTTTAAGATTTTGCTTAATTAAGAAATTTACTATGTGCAGCCTTTCCTGAACTTATTGTATTTTATAATCTAAATAGATACCCTCATTTCCATATAAAGATATTGATGATTATGATATAATCATGAAGGAATAGGAAAATATATTAAAAGTGCTAACTGTATTTTTTATATTTTATACTAAAAGATATTTCTATAAATCTATAATAAGAAACCTATAATAAGAACTATTGCTTCTAGTTTACATTTTTTGAATGAAACTAATTCCAAATAATTTTAATCAAAATTTTACAATGAATAAAATCTCATAAAGTAATTTAATCTCAATCAAAAATAATCAAAGACAGGAACATTATAAGTATAATTTAATTAAAATCAATACTAAAAATATAAAGATTATTATACATATCTTAATGCAGAATAAGCAAATTATGAACTAATTTAAAAACATTTAGAATAGTTTGCAGAATTTACTTATAAAGGATAATAGAGTTTAGGATTTTCAATTGAAATGATTTAATAATTATGCATTTCTCTTCCTTAATATTTTGAAGCATAAGAATTTGGAAAAGCCTTAAGTATGATAAAGTCTCACTTTGTAAAATTCAATTAATATTATTATAATTAGTAAACCTAAAAAGATTTTATCTTAAGATCTACAAAATAAATTATGGATGTTTTATTAATTACATTAGTAAAATTCAAGAATTCTAGACAATAATTATTTGAATTGAAATCTAATCTCAATGAAACATTCCAAAATTTTTCTAATGAATTCTTTCTTTTAGAGAAACGAAAAGAAGAACTATTCACATTAAGTTGATGTTTTCTTATATATTTAGAGGATTTTTAGAAATGGGGTTTGAATTAAGAATTACAATCTAAAATAGACATAAATAGGTGTTTTACAGATTTAAAATATGCCAAAGAATTCATGTTACCAAAAGAGACCTTTTATGTAAATGAAAAAAAAGATTAATATGTTTATATGTTGAATCATTTCAATGAATAATTTGATTAATAATTTATAATTGAAACTGATAAATTATTGAATGAGATAAGATTTTATTTAGATAATATGAGATATTATACTAATAATCAAGTAAATAATGATTATGAAGAATAGTTATAAAATTGGGATTTTCTCATTTAAGAATATGAAGAATACAAATTTCAATATAGTTAAAAATTAAGTGTAAATGGATGATAAATTTATTTTAATATTTTAATATAATAATAATAATAAGATCAATTAATGAATTATTATGATTACGAATGTTATTTTTATTCTTTTTTTGATTTTATTGTATTTATTGAACCAAAAATACTTTCATTATCTTTATCTAATAATTATTGAGATGATTAGGTTTTAGAATCTTATTAATTTTATAATAATATAGCTGATTATTATGATTTCAAGACTCCCTCTAATCTTAATCTATTTATATCACTTTCATTTGATTAAAACATTACATGCTCAACTGTTTTACTCAAAGATAAACTTACTCTGAGATTTTGTTATTATAATATACTAGGACTATATTCAGATTTGATATTTTCTTCTTCTTCTTAAATCTTATATATAAAACTAGGTTTCTAATTGTTTTCAGATTATATTTCTTAAGATTTAAACATATTATCATTTGATATCTTTCGATATGTTTATTATTCTGATTTTACTTCTTATTTTTCTTCTGATTTTATTTAAATTTATTCTAAAGTTTTTCTGGAATTTATCAAAGAAACTTTTCTACTTTCTGAACTTATACCTTTAGATCTTTATGATTTTAAATGATTTGATCCAAGTAATTAATTTTCAAACTTTAAAGATTCCTTTGCTGATTTCCCTCTTGAAGAATGAGGTGAATCATCTAAATATTCTACTGAAGGAAACAATTCTCTAATTGGATCAAATAATCTCTTTATTTCATTTTTACTACCTTTACCAAAATATATATTAATATCTTAACTTTAAGGAAATTTTGGTTTAAGAAATTAAATTATAGGACAATCTTTTTAAAATGGAAATATTTAGTTTATAGGTCTAAAGGGAGTTGCACATTAAATATTTTAAAGTAATTTCAATTATTTTCTAGCAACTCTTTATAAATGACTATCTTCTAAAAACTTTTGGATATAATTTTATTGATAACGATCTAATATATTTTATATACCTGTTTTTTAAGCTAAAGACAATAATTATTCTACAATTTCATCTTAATCAAATGAATTAGTTAAATGTAAATTATATTTATATCTAATTTTTGAATATTCATAATATATACTAAAATACTCTGGTTTTTCATTTGATAATAAAACTAAATAAGATAATATATTTTAATAGCACTCTAAACTTTAATCATCTTAAAATGTTACTATATATTTATTAAATTTTTATCTAAATGAATGTAATCTCAATTAATTAGATGAAATTGATATTCCTACTATTTCAGAATATAATATTGATTATATAAAAGATATACCTTAATAAATATATATTCCATGATAATTAATTATCATTTCACAATTTTCTTTTTCAAAATTAACTTAATAAATTGAACTATTAAAACAAGGATTAAATGATAATATAATTTTAATCAATTTAGTTAATTATGTTTAATCAAAATAAGCAAATTAAGCAATCATTTCTTAATGTTAATTGATTAAATCATCTATATCTATTTAACCTCTTAAATGAACTGGTATAAATTAAATATAATTATAAATATTAATATCTTAAGTATTCTATTATTCATCATTTATTGATTCAATACACATCAATATTATTATAATCTTATTAATACTTTCATTATTATAATGTTAACAAATATATGGATAATTAATAAATTAATTAGTAATTTCTTAAATTGATTAAATTTCAACACAATCCATACAAAAGATTCTTCTTCTTAATTCAATTGAGAGTACATTATATTATTAATTAATACGTGAGAAATGTTCCCAAAAACCCAATTAACTTAATAGAGGAATATCCAAATATTTTATAATATTAATCTATCCTTATTATTCTTACTTAAATTCTACTCTTACATAAATCCATAAACTTCCCTTATCACTTTCATTTACTTCTTCATATATTTAATTCATCACTTCTGAAACTGTTGCAAATCCATCAAATTCAATTTAAAGTATTCTAGAATGTAGATAATGTATCATAATTGTAGATTTATTGAATCTAAAATTAATTTCTTATATTGAAGGTAACCAATATATCATAGGTATATTATTTATCCATGCAGTAATTAATTATAATAATTTAATATCCTAATAGGTTGTAATTAACCAATCATAAAGTGGTTACATTAATGTTTTAGATGGACTTAGATAATGCAAAAATAATAAGAATAATTTCTAAAAATTAGTTTCTTTCATTTTCAATTAAGTCATAATAAGAAATATATAGAGATCATCACTTAATAAACATGGACAAGGAGAATTAATACAAATGTCTATAACAAGACGAGATGCATTTAATACTGAATTATTATCATAATTTTCACTATCCATTATTACAATTTATGATACTATATGTTTTAATTATTTAATTAATTCATTTTAAGCATATACATAAATAGGATCTTCAATATCTAATTGTTGTATTCTATTTAAATAAGGATATTCAAAGATATGTTTTGGTTAATTAACATCTTAATTAGTATATATAGGTAATATAATTCTTAGATGTTTTATTTTTAAATCAGAAATTTAATATCTATATTCACAATTTAATTGTTTTACATCTATATCTTCTATTATTTCATTTAATTTCATTTCAGTATAATTATGTGATACTTTTTCTAAATAATATCTTAATTATTATTTTCGATATTAAGCAGAATAATAATTAACAACTACTCTTACAAAATTTAATTAATGTTCTTCTGAATTCTCATTCCAAATATTTTAATTAAAATTTTCAAAATGATTATATACAATAAATTTAGCTCTCCTTTAACCTAATTTAGCAAAATATAATATTTTTTCATTCTCAACTTTATCAAAATCTAATATATTATTTGTATTTATAAGTGTCTTATCTTAAAAAGAATTTTAATATATTATAATTTTTGTAAGTGTCTCTAAATATTATTCATATTCTTGTATTGATATTTTAGTCAAATCATAATAACATATATTAAATGGATGAGAAAGTAAACTAGATGAAACTGGTAATGATTATTATAATTATTTTGATGCATATTCTATATCTCTAAAAATAAATTATTTTGAATCATTTAATAGATCATCATAGTATTCAAATTACCATACATAATCTTAATAAACTAATTTTCTTATAATAGTTTCTCTTTCTAATTTCAATTGTATTAAGAAATCAATTGGAGTACCTCTAATATCTAATCTATGACATAATGATATTAAATCATCAAGTTCTTTATTAATCTTACTCTCTTCTATTTAAAAGTTCAGTAATTTATTTATTCTATTTTCAATCAATTAAAGTTTCCTTGATAATTTTACATACTTTTCTTTAAATATAGTTATATCCATTCCTAAATTAAATGAAGAAAATGTTAAAAAACTAATTGAATAATTATCTCTAAATAAAATAGCATCATTTAATTTACTCCAAATCATTTATTATAATTGATTAACTATTGTATTTGAAATATTATATTAAAATGTTTTAATTTCTTCTGTTATTTAATAAATTTCTTCAACTGGAGGATCATTATTATTTGAATGTAAAACTTATAAAATTTATTCTTCCTTATTTCTTATTTCTTATAATACTTTAGTATTTGAAGGTAGCTACTTTTTTGTTTATTTTTTATGAAAAGTAATTTAATGTCTTTAAGGTAATTGAGGTGGAAAATTGAATTAAATTGTTTATTTTTAATATAATGTTGGATGATGTTGAAATATATGTTATGGTTATTTTAATATTGATTAACCTCTTCTAGCTTATGATCCTTATAATTCTTGAGATTCTTCAAAAATAATTTCCTGTTAATTATTCTTCTTTATATTAAACAATTACTCAACAATATTTTATGTATAAGGTAATGGATATATTTTATATATAAGATTTGGTTTTGCCTTTTTAGAGAATAAATTAAATAAAGACATTTAACCATCTTTTGAATATCTATTGTAACTAAGATTGATATTAATAATTTAACAATTATCATCTTTAATAATTCTATTTTCAATAATAAGAATACTAGAATCATTTAATTAATTTTAACTTAAATCAATGGATACTTTATTTAAAATGGCTCCAGCTTTTAATAAAAATATTTCTAAATATTATTCTTTACCTTATATGACATTTGCAGATAAATTTATATAATTTATATCTAAACATTTTTCAAAAAGCATTGCAATTTAATCTATACCTCTGTCATCTACTGAATTTTAACTAAAATCTAATTATTAAAGATAAGGACGTTTCTTAAGTATTGGTGCTATTTCCTAAATCATTATTGACTTAAGATTACAATTTTTAAGAGTTAAATTAATTATTTAATCTGGTTTAATGGATTCCAACAATAATTATAATGATTTAAGATGTTCTTTTAAATTTAATCTAAAAATTAAACCATTTACTAGATTATTGCATTCACATAATATTTAATAAGTTGAAATTAAGTTTTCATTATTACAATCTAATTTAGCTATTACTTCAGTAACACTATCTTATAGCCATGTGATTACATTTTAATTTAGTTATATCTTTTTAGAATTTCTATCAGTATAATATTTTTGAAAAGCATTTCCAACTATTATAGATCTAAAGAATTTTAAATTATCCGCTTAATTTTAAGCTATCAAATATTACACTTGTTTGCTCAATTTATTAATCAAACATATAGCTTATCCTTATATTGATGATATACTAGTATTATATCCATCTTTTTATAAATAATTGACTAATTATTCAATAGAGATCATAAACACTTATTTATCTGAAACCTATTATACTTAAAGTGGAGGTGCTGTAACAGAATCAGGATCTAATTTGTTTTATTTAATATATTGCATTCTCTCCTATATTTATGGTATAGTAGATGGTAAATCCTTATAATTAGACCAATCCTCATTAAGTTTTGGTGTTTTTATGGTGTAATTTGTATATGGGAAATAATATATATATGTGTCAGTCACAATAATTCTTTTCATTTACCATAAGGATTCATTTTCATTCACTCCTGCACACAAACAATGAAAATTCCCCATATATAATAATCTTTCTGAACCTCTCATATATATATAAAATTACTAATTTAAATTAACTTAATATATATATGTAATTCTTAATAAAAACTATTAACTAATCATATAATTATATTCATAGAATAATAAAATTTATGAATAGAAACTATTTAAAATGTATATTAAGAAATAAAACAATAACTTCATTTTTAATAATGGTTTTAACATATAAAACCATTTATTACATCATAAGAGATTATTCAATAAATAATTATAAAATAAAAACTAGGACTTTTTATTCAATAAATATTTTAAATATTAAATGTTTAATTATTAGTTATCAATATATGATATAAAAAATTTAGTATAAATTGTTTAATATATAATACACAAACATATTTAGATGATTTTCTTAATCTAAAATTTTTAGATGTTTAATAAAATTCATTTTTATTATAATTTTCAAATCATTCACATAAATATTAATGGATAATTAAGAATATGTATAGAACTGTTAAAAATAATAAAGTTGTTTTTATTTTTGTAGTTTATTAAAAGTCATTTATAATTTAGTTCTATTGATCATATAATTTTCAATAATTTATTTATTAATGAATAGACAATATGTGTTGCCAAAATATCAGGAAATATTGTAGGAATATATGGAAAAGGTTAGAAAGAATATTCCCAAATAGTATCCTTCCTTTAAAGACTTTTTGAACAAAATGATTGGTATATATGGAATTAAGAAATTAAGATCTTGTGAAATATGAAAGTCTGCCTAAATTAGGTAAGCATAATGTGGTTTTCAGATTGACAATCAATATGAGATAAACCAAACTAACTTAATTGGCTTTGTCTACTTTATTTGTAATGAATTAATTATTGATCCAATTAGAGATTAGTTTCAAATGGGTTTATTGATGGAAGAATAGAGGATACTTCATAAGAATTTTATACAGATGAATTTTCAGAACTTTTTAATGATTCTAATTATAATAAAGGAGAAAAAAGAGTATGAAATGATATTTATAATCATTTAGACAATCATGGATGTATTAATTAATTCAGTAACATCCTGTCTATTTGATAAAGATGAGATTATCATTTAAGGTCTAAAATTATTAGTTGCATTCGTTCTGAATCCATATTGTTATGTAACATCATAAAATCTAACAAGAATTGTTAGGACTATTATCTTTTCTTATACTCGTATACTATATTTTAAGCATAGGTTCTAGAACATAGACAGTTGATAGAAATACAAAGAATATGCTCTATTAAATTATAAATTATACATTTTAGGCTGTAGAAGGAGAAGTAATTAAATTTATCATAATTTATAAGGTTTTTACAATTTAAAGAAATAAACGTAGAATGTCTATAAAAGAAGATTCAGTTTAAAAATTAACTTAATTAGTTATGCTCTAATTAGTTGATATGGTATGTTTAAATAGAACTTCATTGAATTTTTGTATATAATCTGATATTTAAAATGAAAGAAATCAACCTGCAGGTTATTTTGGTTATTGTATAATGTGTAGAAAATCAGCTAATCTTTATTGTAAAGATCATAGAGTTCCTATTTGTTCTTTTATTTGTAAGAAATAACATTAGGAATATGTGGAATAAGCTTAAAGTACATATAGTGGGGCAGTTAAATAATTTGAAGAAAATCTTGATTGTGCATTATAATTGTATGATAGTTTATGCAATCTATTACTTAATAAAACAACATTAGAATAAGCTAAAAATTAATAAATCATTTTAGAATGTCTATTATATATTCTTGAAACACCAGATTTTGTTTTAAGTAAAAATGAAAAATTCATTAAAACTACAAAAGAAAGATTGTGTAATCAACTATTAAAGTATTGTTTAGAAACAGAGAAAACCTTATATTAATTTAGTTTTAGAATATTTTAAAGATTAGTTAATATAATGAGAAAAAATATTAAACATGAAATGGCAATATTTATTAATTAAATTTATTTAAATATACTTTTAAGTGCTAATTCTAATGTATTACATAAATAAACTGCTCTTGAAAGTTTATGTAGTATTTTGGAAAGACCAAAAACTGGATTAGAATTTTATATAAATTATGATTGTCATACAAAACATGAATGTTTAATGTCTAAAATTATTAATACTTTTTATGAAATAATAGTAGTTTCTATTTATTAAAAAGCAGAATATTAAATATCAACATAATAAGAAATTCTATTAAAATATTTAGCTATTAAAGCATTATCTTATGTTATTGAAGGTTTAAATAAAATATTTGATAAATTTATTATTACACCTTCTGAAGAAATTGGATCACCATAAATGGAAGATTAAAATGCTAATGTTAATGATAATACAACTGTAATGTATATTAATCCTATTGAAATACAAAGATAATTAAAATAAGAAATTATGAAAGGATGTTAAATATTTAGAAAGAATCCTGATAAAGGAATTAAATATCTTTTAGATGCTTAAATCATATAAAATGAGTAATTTTATTTTTATTAATTTAGTGCAAAAGAAATTGCTAAATTTTTTAGAGAAAATTAACAATAAGTAAGTAAAGATGCAATTGGAGCCTTTTTAGGAGGACATCAACAATTAAATATTAAAGTCTTAAGTGAATTTACTGATATGTTAAAATTTAAAGATTTGACTGTTGAATAAGCATTAAGATATTATTTAGATTAATTTACATTACCAGGTGAAGCAATGTAAGTAGATAGAGTAGTTTAAAAATTTTCAGATAGATATTACAAAGAAAATCCAAATTCAACTTTTAAATCTAGTGGAAGTATATATACTTATTGTTATTTATTGGTTATGTTATAAACTGATTTGCATAATCCTTCAGTTGCAGAAAAAATGAAATTAATAGATTTTTAAAAATTGGCTAGATCTATAAATGATGGTGATGATTTACCATAAGAGTATTTGACTTAAACTTATAATTCTATACTTAAATAACCATTGGCAGTAAGAGAAAAAGAGAAAAGTCGTGTTTTCATGAAAGAATCTCTTACTTAAAGTATAAGAAAAAAATAGGATTTATTTTAAAGGGAAAAGGAAGCTTTACTTAAATAAGGAAGTGAATTAATAAAAACTAAATAAGATTCTCATGAAACTTTATATTAAATTATTAATTAAGATATGGCTTATTTAATAAAACCATTTTTAGAATGTATAGGTAAACAATCATTTGAAATGTTTCTATTTGTTTTTAATAATGATTAAATGGAATAAGCTTCAAATTAATGTATTTAAGGATTAGTTTTATTTATTAAATTATGTTCATTTTTTTCAATACCTTTATAAGATTATATGAATACATTAATAAAGGCTACTAGACTTAATAATTAAGGTTAAATATCTAATAAACATATCAATTTAATAAAATAAATATTATAAACTGTACCATTAATTGGAAATGGATTAAGAGAGAATGGATGGAAAAGTATTTTAAAAATGATTAGTAGACTTGATGAAATGAGAATGATATAATAATCTAAGGATAATTAGGATGGATAAAATATATCTATTTTACCTGAATTATTATTGGAATCTGATTTAATAGATAAGATTTTTGTATAATCAAAATAATTAGATGATGAAGCAATTTAAGAATTTATTAATGCTTTATGTTTTATGTCAAAATAAGAAATATATTAAACACATCCACGTTTGTTTTGTCTTTAAAAATTAGTTGAAGTATGTGATTACAATATGAAAAGAGTAAGTTTTGTATGGACTAAAATGTGGAATATAGTTAAAGATCATATTAATGAAGTAGCAGTAAAAGAAAAGAAAGTTGCAATGTTTACTGTAGATTCATTAAAATAATTAAGTATAAAATTTCTATAGAAGGATGAATTATATGATTTTTAATTCTAAAGAGATGTATTAAAACCATTTGAAACTATATTTTTGTAATCTAATTTAGAAGTTAAGGAATTCATTCTTTCTTGTATAAATCATATTGTATTAAATCACAAACATAATATCAGATCTGGTTGGAGAATGATTTTTGGTTTAATAGCATTAGGTTTAAAAGAAGAAAATGATAAAATTTGTAAAATAGCATTCTAGATATTATCATAAATTATGGAACATAATCTAGATCTATTATAAGATGTTTTTATTGATCTTATTTAAACATTAAAGGTTTTAGCAGGAAAGAATTAAGAAGATATGGCAATAGCATCTATTGATTTTACTATTAAATGTTTAGGATATCTATCAAAATAAGCATAAATTATTCCAAAACTTAATTGGAATGAATTTGAAGAACCAGAGGCTACTGTTAGAAATGCATCAACAGCTGTTTAACTTGAAAAAATATGGATTCCTTTACTTGGAGTATTATCATAATTAGCAGGAGATAAAAGAAATAAAATATAGGCAAAATCAATGGAAGCTTTATTTGAAACTTTATAATAATTTGGATATGCATTTAGTGCTGAATTTTGGAAAATGGTATTTAGTACTGTATTAAGACCTATATTTGATGAAATTTAATTTACATTTTAATAAAATTATACAGTGGCTAATACAAATAATGATTGGTTTAAGGATTCATGTAAAAAGGGATTTTCTTTGATTATTAATTTAATGAAAAGATATTTTTAGAAATTAAGAGGTTTATTACCAGAATTTTTAAAATTATTTGAAAATTGTATACAAAATTAAAATGTTAAATTGGCTAAATATAGTATTCATTCAGTTAAAAATATGACACTTAAAATTGGTATGATGTTTAATGAAGAAGAATGGGAATAAATTATTTAATTTATTGATAGAATGATTCGATTAACTACACCTACAAAATTATCAAGTTTTGCAAATTAATCATTAACTTCTAGTAGAATGAGAAATATGATAGAAGATTGTTTTACTTAATGTACTTCTTAATTATTGATAATCTAAATAAGTATTGAGATCTTATAGCATTTCAATTAAAAATTAAATTTATAATAATTATAAACTATTGAAAATACATTTTTATACTCCTACTAATTTGCTGTATAATTTAATTCATAAAT